ACACAAGTGGAATGTGTAGCGATTTAATAGTCACATGTTACCCGGCAATACGTTGGCCGAGGTACTACCAAAATTCTACGGCAATCACTTACCAATTCGTTTGTCAGCAATATGGGGCAATATAGAATGAGAGATACGAGTTCGACGAACGAGCGAAGTTACTCGACAGTGGACGGAATGTGCACAAATTTAATTGTTCTATACTGCTAGTGTTGACCAGTCGAAATCCTTTAGCGATACGAGTGAGTGCCGTATAGATAAATTTGGTTAAAATCGACAGGATGTGTACAGATATAATTCTTGTATATCGGAAATAATGACTAATCGAATTTGTTACAACAAATCATTGCAAGTTTTTTACGTTTCGAAGATATATCGATGATACATATAGTAGGTGCCTAAATGAATTAAACAGTAAGTCATATATTTAAGAAATATGTATATTATATTTTTCAATTTTATTTTCTAATAGTAGACAATATTGACAATATTGACCGACCGATATATTAACTAGAAACTATTTTCATCAGTTTATTGGAGTGTAGAGTTTAACTCGTTCGTTCTAAAAATCAACAAAAAATGAAACAATCTATATTTTAATGAAATTTATTAATTATAGTTGATGTGTGTTTATATAGGTATATAAAAAACAATATTTCAGTTATCAGTGCAATGCTCAGTTATCGAATTCGTAGCAATAAATGTAAATGTAAAGAATTAATAATCTTATCGAGAAAACTTTATTAACTTTGAACAGTTTGATCATTAATAAAAATCTTTCGAAAGTTTAAAGAAAAATTTTTAGTACAAATAAGAACGGTAAGATATTTTTCTAACGTGATAATAAAAAAAAATTATTATTATTAATAAACTTTATTTTAATTTATTCGAAATGCATTCCTACAATGTTTGACAGCAACGATATTATAATATTAATCATATTAGTGTATTTAACAGTGTAATCGTGAGAATTTTAATTAAAATTACAAGCATATTTAATTAACCGATCATGATTCAATTATTAATGCAGATATATATCACAAATAGATTACATGAGTAAAATTTATTTCAATTCTTAAATTTAATTTTATTTTTAATAACAAATTTATTTTAGTAAATTTTATTTTCAAATAAATTTTTTTAATACAATAATGTAAATAATGTAATTTTACTAAAATAATTATAAAACTCAAAACGCTCGAAACAAGCTTATCATTTATCATTCAGTAAGAAGGAATATCTAGCCTGAATAACTTGTCTTTGAGCTAAAAGCACTGCAATTAGATGGAAGGTTTGATGTCGGACAACAAGCTTTAGATGAAATATATATGATTGCTCTCTGAAACTTCAGAAAAACACGATATCATTACAATAATTTCCGATAAATCCTAACGAGAATACAGAGAGCTTATTTCTATAGTTTGTGACCTCATTATTCGAATCGTAATTAAAACAGTGAAAAAGAGAAAACGTGACAAACGCTCGTAAACGCAAACGATAAAAATATACCTAAATTAATTAATATCTGTAATTGCGATCGGTTTTATATAAAGCGATTAATGTTTATATTTAATCCAAACGTTTGATTATATAGCAATGTGTAATGATATTTTTTACTGTTTACGATATTTGTATCAGTAATTATTATGTATATTCTCATCAAGGAAAAACAAATTCACTTAAAAACTCTGCCTTAAATTCTTAACTCTTCTAACAAATAGTAATAGCATGCAGCGTCTGCTATGCTCGAACACTTTATTTAAACATCTGCTCGTAGAATCGTTAATACCAAGCGACTAAGCTTAATTAACACGTTTTCCGTATTCGTCGCAGAAGATTTCTGTAATTTCGCCGGAATAGGATTCCCTGCGAAGGGATTCTCCTCAGGTGTAATCGAGTGTGGCGCATCTCCATCTCCAGAACGGTCTCCGGAGAGATTATGAATTAGCGAGCGTGTTTGCCGAGACAATCTCGGACTCGTAGACGTTAGTTGGCGATATCCCACGCGCGTCTCTCAGAATCTAGTTCATCGTGTTTAGCTAACGTCAAATGAGTTATTCCGCATGAGAGCACAAAACGGATTCGCTGCTTACTGCGCAGTATTACTGCTTGCCAAGAATATACATATAAATTCTCTATATCTTACATTAACCCTCCCATCGAGAGCCTCGTGTAAAGACACATTAAAATTTTCCTTGTATAATGTTTAATTTGACCAACTGATACAGAGATACATTTTTTTAAATAAATGTTATACTAACTATTCCATTTTTTAATTTTCCTATTGAAAACTAAAAGTTTTTATATAAATAAGATTAATTTATAAAACATTTTAAAAAATCATTTGTCACGCAGAATTTTTAGAATTTTTTAATTTGTTTTTAATTCATTCGGAAAACGTTTATTTTTAATGGGGTTTAAAAGTTTTAGTAAAACTAAAGTAAACTCAAAAAGTTGTGAAAGAAAAGAAAAGAAATTAAAGAAATAGAGACTTAGACAAGACAATTTTAACAAGTAGTTTGTTGTCCGCAAAAACTCATTGTGCTGCAAAAAGAAAATCGGGTTTCAAAAACATCAATTTGATAGCTCGAAATCCAATGCTATCACTAGTATTGCAAATCTCTATGTTGTAATTGTATTTAGAATGGGATAGAATACTGTCGAAGCTTCTCTTGAAACAATATTCCCTAAAGCATGGCGGAAATAGTTTTAGAGTATACAGGTAACAATGCACAATATAAGATCTTTATTAATTATTAATTAATTATAAATAACACATAATTTAAAAAATAAAATCAATATTTTCTAGATAATCAAAGATTCAACTTTTCTAACAATTATTACTATTCAAAACATTAAACATTTTGTAATTAAATTTCAAATTAAGTTTTTGTTAAAGTCTATTTGAAAAATTTAAATCTCTCTATATAAGTATATATTTATATTGTAATTCACATTGTCAATTTTTTCTTATTTTAAGGAAAGAATTTCGATATTTATTGAATTAATAAAAGTAATGAGCCTTCATTTTACAAGGTAAAATTGCTAAAATTTATAATTTTGAAAGATTTGTAATTTTAAACATTTAGAGGTTAATTTCGAATCTAATCGAATTCCTATATTAGTATCATGAATTCTAGAGATTCCTCTATCGGTACAAAAGCAGTTGATTAATGTTGAACGCGCATGTGATAAATGATCGACGTCTTGGTGAAGAGGAAGATGATGGAGAATCACTGGCCCGGTGCTCTCTAGCGGCTCGTCGCTATGGTTTGATCGAAGGGGTATTTTCTTCCCCTCATACACGCGGAAACTTCTTTCAGAAGATAAACCGTTCTCTTTCAGCCTCCGTGTCGCCCTCAGGGCGCGGCCAAAGAGGCACGAAAGTTTCTCCGGAAGATTCACAAAAGATTTTTTTAGCTACATCGCGACGTAATCTGGACAAGGCCAACGAAGTACCGTTTAGAAAATTTATAAGAAACTAACGAAGAAGTTCTCACAAACGGAAACTCTCGAGATACCCGGAAATGCGATCTCGTTCATTCATAGAATAGAGTCTGAATGTAATTCAAAGAAGGAGAAATAATGAAGCTTGATAAAAAAAATATAATTCTCGAATAAAAATCTCGATGTCCTAAATACCTTGGAAATTGGAAATAATAGAGAAATTAAGTTTCTGGAAAAAATAAGAATAATATAAAAAGGTATATCAAATAATAGTAATACATAGAACAACAGCAATATATAGATATTATAGATTTACTCTTAGATAACTTATTATTCAGATAAATGTAAAAAAAAGCTTTTTGAATTCTTATTACTGATTTTAATTTGTCGAATGCTCTGTAACAAATAATAGGAATAAATTAATATTTATATATTAAGTTTTGAAAAATAATTTGTCCGGTTCGATTAAATTACAATTAAAAAAATAAGAGAAAGAGGGGGGGGAGAGAGAGAGAGAGAGAGAGAGAGAGAGAAACTCAAGTTAATTACTGTAGTAACTAATTGAACTGTAGTAACAAATTATATTTTACGAAACCCTTTGAGTTTAGTTTTACATTGCTATTCGTATACTGTCAGTTGAATCGCTCTCGATTTTTATTATGTAATGATTAAAAATTAGACTTCCTGAAGACAACTTATTGAATGTGATGCATCGCGCGTCAAATCGTTAGCGTGCCTGACACGTGTGCGGGCCTTATAATCCCGGAGCTTGCAGCAAAACTAGGTCAAACTTTCACATAGAAGGAAATTAGGGACGAGTTTCCGCGTGCATCATTCCTGTCGAGATAGAGAGAGGAAGGGGAATCGATCCCGGAATTATTAGGTAATTACCATGGTGCAGCGGGAATAATTTCAGAATTGATTACGACGTAATCGGGGGATGGGTTGAAAGCAAAGAGAGCTGCCAAACAGGTCAGTATTTTCAAACTCTTCCTTTGTAAAGATTAAATGCCAATTCGTTTAATATTAGATTACTCACGTACGTTTACTGATTGTGAGTGAGATTATGAAGATTGGAATTAGAAGGCAGAAACTATATTCGAACTGTTCTCTTTTAATTTTAATAAATGTTAAATTAAGTAACCATTAAATAAAGATATCAAACAATATTTGCATTATAGGATAGAAATAATTTTGTTATGCGCGAAACTGTCAAGGAAATCAAAAAAGTTACACGCTAAAAGAGACTTTGCGGACGAGCAAGACTATGTAATACACTTGTCGCATATATTTACTGTAATATTTATCGTAATATTTCAACAGTAATAGCAATTCTTGGAATATGAAAAGTCAGAATATGAAATTTTGCAGAAAATCGTGCCATCACAACGAGGAGGACTTTGTATGAGACAATCCTACGATCTCGTCAACCCTTAATGTCTCCATCGTGAGCCGTCGACAGCTGCTCTACGCGCGAAGACGCGGTCCTACGGGACTCGGAATCAACGTGGTGTGAACAAGAGAACGGGCGGATAAAGATAAGGCTAAAGACGATGGGAGTGCCGGACGTGGAGCAGGCCAAGAAGCGACTCCAGGATATACTGAGGCGAGCTCAGAAACTTGAGATACCGACGCAAGAGGTGATCTCGACGAGAACTGCGCGTAAATTGCTCGCCAGAACGCGCAATGTCCTGGCATGGACTATCTGGATCGGAGTGTTCGTCGTCCTGCTTACTGGCGTTGTCTACGCTCGTTGGCCTACACGACAGGACGTGGAGACCGTCAGGACCGTGCTGAGGCGAACAGTCAGTATATTCGATATATTATATTAAATAGCATTACGTGTCGTGACCAACGCTCATTCTTCATAAATAAAGAATTGACTTTAAAAGGTTCGATAGATTGGTCTTTCTCGAGAAACACAATTCATGAATGTAATTACAACAATAAGAACGATATCCATTCTTCTAACCGGTATCGGCTTCAAAACTCGCGATATTTTTAACAACGAGGAAAAGGGTTGAGAATTTTTCAATTCGCATAAAATTTTCTCAAACGCGAATTTCCGCTTTCGTTTACATACGAAGGAAAAATAAAGCTTCCTTCTCAGAGTTGAAAATTTTCTTCTTGCTTCCATACCCATTCCCTGCGTCTTCTGTTTTCTTATGACAATCTTGTTGCATATCTTTTCTATGCTGCAGAAAACGTGTCAATGGCTTTCTGACAAATATTCGCTGGTCATATAGGTACACGCACCATATTTTCTCTGTAAAAAGTATTTTATCATATCGACGTGTGAAGTATTCGAAAAATTTTCACTAAATGCGTAACTCACATTTTATCGCTCAATGTTTATTTCTATTTAAATTCTTGCTCAAAATGGTTCACATTTGATTGGCAGTTATATCAATTTCATATCTCTTCTTTCTGATCCTGGGATATAAATTTTATAAGAAAAATATAAATTTTAATAATATTAATATTAATAACTAAATTAGTTCTTTGATCTAAGTAGCCGAAGAAATGTTGAGATAATAAAATAAGAGATGTATCTGATATTAATCGATGAAATCTCTGTATGTCAACCTATTTTTATATACCAATACATATATACCTATTTTTTTACTTACTTCTAAACATTTAAACAAATTACCGATATAATATCGTGGATTAGTATTTGAATTTCGTTAATTTTGGAAAGTTCACCAATTAAGCTCGCGGCGGTCACATGCTGGTGTGGTCGATAACGCCGATCACGATGAAGGAGAGAGAACGTTAGAGGTACTAAAATAAAATCGCTCGACCAGTGATATTTATTAGACGACATCGGCGACGGTTACGGCCGATAAACGGCACAGACCGCGGCATGGAAAATTCACCTCGTAAATGGAAGCGTGCAAACAATAGTTATCGGATAAGCGTTTTCGCGGGATAAAAGCTGATCGGTCGCGGCGTTCTACAATACATGCCTGCCGATTCGCGATTTTCTCTCGGACCATCGCCAATGCATCGATCGTTATTCGGAAGGGATCTGTGAGACAGAATTCTGCGTGTTATTAACTATGCTATATAAGAAAGTCAACATTTAAAGATTACGATGCTCAAAAATTATTTACAATACATATTTGCAAATATAAATTGACAAATTTATGATGACTAGAATTGATGCCTCGAACCGAATTTCAAGAGGCGTTTAATTTGTTCACTAACAATAAGTAGTCTGTTTAAACGTGCGTTTCGTGCAAAAAAAATTGAACGAGTAAATGTTCGATTTTTTAATATCACGTTTCTTTTGCTTATTCAATGATTCTCGATTGAAAAGTGGCTTTCATTGCTCGCTTCGATCGTATTTCCGACAAATTTCAATATTACCGATGCTCGATCGCGCAAAATCGTACCAAAGGAGTATCAGCGTTAAAAGGACTATAAAAAAAGACCAGCGAAACAGCCTAAATGAAAGAGATTGCAAGTTCAAAGAGAGCTATCGCATGTGATCTATTGAAAATGCACACACCTGCATACTCATGCGCGCGCGAACGTGTGCGGCAATTGATCAGTAAAATCATTTCATCGGTATCGTCAAACTCGAATTGCATTTCATTGCTGAATACGTTACGATATTTTCGAAATGGCCTCACTCGAAATTATACGCTATTACATATAGCACAATTTTTGGCAAGACTAGCAGATCGATGTACCTATTAGAAAAATGTGTACATTGATACAAATTAATAGATGCGTAAAAAATATTTATAATATACATATAGCTGGAAAATATGGAAATATAGATGGATATGGAGTAAGTAAAGAATTAAAAGGTCTTTTTTTCACGCTAAAAGAGTTCAACAGTACTGAAACCAATATATCATGGAATGGTGATCGTGATATTTTACGTGTATCGCTATCGCAAATTCAACAAAAATTATTGGTCGCAAAAACTAAATATTTCGGTTTTAGTTTAAAAAACAAAAAGACACACACGTTGCGTGCACCTTTTTGTTTGGAACAAACGCCGTCGGCATTGTTCGTAATTATTTCAAAACGGCTGCGGCTGCATATGTTTCAATTTACGCTTCAGTATCTTCGTTTTAGTTTTTTGTCGTGGTGTTTTTTCTGATTGTCGCTGTGTTTATTATTTCTTCCCTTTTCCCGGGCAATGCCAAATATGCTCTGCCAACAGTATAGTTTTCTCGTGTTTGTTAATTAAAAGACCGAAGTTAGAAGTCGAGTGTATTAATAGAACGAAATAGCGTGAGATAACTACAGGATATTTAAAAATAATCGTAATATTTTCTCTACTGTTAAAAAAAAGTTTGTATTGAATTAATTAAAGAATTCATAATGGAAAATGTATTCAAAATTACTTTCTAATTTTCATAGCTTTGTGTTGTTTTCATTTTATATTTTCATTGTGTTTAATTTATTTAGTATTCGAAATTTATTTCAAATAATTTAATACCTTTGGCAAAATTCTACATCTAATTATATAATTAGATTTATATTAGAATTATATTTTCCTTATTCTATTTGATAATAATCTATTTGATATAAGTTCAGAAAATTATAATTTGAAAATTATATTATATTGAATAAATAAATACGTTATTTTGAAACAAACTAAAAATACATATATGTATTAAGAAAAAAAGCAAATTATCACACTCTAATAACAAGAGAAGAGCATTTTATATATTCATTCTACATTGTTTGTATTTTTCAATTTCCTTATAGCTTGCCTTAAAATAATGAACCGATCTCAGTTGTTCTTTCACTCGCCATTGGAGTCTGATAATTCGCTCTCTTCCTGCTTTTTTCCGTACTCCATAGCACGCCGTGAATCGAGACATCGAAAAGCGACTAGAGAGCCCGGCGGGCCCACTCGAGGTGCTCAATTTCCATGGAAATAACATCGAAACAGCACGATTTCCTGCACTTTCCCGCTATCACTGTTCCCGTCACGATCCTCTCACTTTCACGCGTACGAATACGAGTTTACGTGAATACACGCAGATCTGTTTTCTTCTCATTCAAAGAAGCTTTTTTGATTCAGACGATTACTTCACCTATTTTTTATTAGAAAAAGAAAATAATAGAGATAAATTTAGAACTCTAAATGTGGAATAGGGAAGTCTATGGTTTTCGCACTTGTGCATATCATATTTGTATTGAAAAATGACACACCTATTCCACTACATGTCTCAATTGACAGAAACGGATGTTATCGTTTAAAATGTCATTTAAATGTGTCTTTAAAATCAAATTTTTCAAAATTAAAGCTATTAAAAATATACTAGCTAAAAGCTTAACGTTGTTAATAATTATTTTAAATTTCTTGAGGGAATAAGGATTGCTAAGATTACTCTAATCTACTCTTAGCGGTATTCATAGTCATTTCTTATATTCAGACTGTCTTAAGTTTAGTCTTGAGGTGTCACGAACCAATCAGAGGGCCGCATTAGCGTTTAAAATATCACTCAAGGCAGTCTTAAAATAAGAACCGACTATGAATACCAGCATAAGTCTATTTTCTTAATACATATACGAATTAGATATTTGATATATTTATCACATATATTAAGCACTTTTTGTATCTTTTCATTAATTGCCTAATAATCTCATATAATATCTCATACATTTCTAAATCATGATTCAAGAAAAAAAGTATACCTATACATTTTTGTATGTATATTTTCACATTTTTATATTATACAACTAATCAAAAAACGTAAATCTAATTTATATTTTTAATTTATATTTTTGTTAAATTTGTTGTTAATATAGCAGTTAAGCTTATCGTTTTATTAGAAATGTACCACACTTTTAATTAATAATTTTGTTTTGTTCAGAACAATAATTATTATCTAAAATTACATGTAGAATACAGAATTAAAAAATTGAGAACTTTTCTATAGCATGTGATGCGACTTTTATTCAATGTAACGTTTTGAGGATAGCTGATAGATAAGTGATGATCTTTGCTCATAAATAACTGCTATAAAATTTATTTATGAAAAAGGGTGCATATAAGGATACGTATAGAGTCAATAAACATGTACAGATAGTCGCTGCTTACTGTCGAAGAATGTTAAACTACTTTTCCGCGGAGCTCTTTTCTGTAAGAAAGAGCGGTAAAGTTGGAAAGAATCTCGAAGGAATTTTAATATCCACGTAGAGTGTTTCATTCGCGGACGCTCCGTATGCGCTTGCTAAATTAAAAAATGCCCCGTTAAATAGTAAGTAGTTGAAAAAGTACGTAGGGCGTAGAGAGCGCTAACGAGGTCTACAAAGTATGCATAAAAGAAGCGATAAGAATTCCGTCTCGGGATTAAACGGAGTTGTTTACTCCCCGGTCGCTTCTATTGAAAGAAAAAGGATCGGAAAATGAAACTTTATATTCTCATACTTTCATATAATCAAAAAATGATATTAATCGGTGCAAAAAAAAAGCGATAAGATAAATGAAGAAAGAGAGAGAGAGAGAGAGAGAGAGAGAGAGAGAGAGGAAGATAGGATTGTTTATCCTCTACGAACAAATATTTTTATTAAAGTTCTAATTGAAATTGAAATAATAACTAATGTTTGCCTACAATTAGTGAAAAACTGAGTAGAAAAACAGATTTAATTCACTCTTTCAAATGCGTAAACAAACAAATTAAATTTTTTTCGAAAGCATCAATTATAATAAAAAATTAATAAATTAATAATATAATTGAATTATAGACTCTTATATGTTTCAAAAACAATACAAAAAATTAAGTAAATACAAAGGCTATTAAGAGTCAACGCTGTTAGCAGTGCGTAAAAA